GTATGTGGCGCTGCTGGCCCGGTTCCGGCACTGGCAAATGGATGTATGCCAAAAGCTGCCCACTTCTGATTAGACAAATGTGGCTCAAATGTTACAAAACAGATATGGGCCACATGTTAAATACTTTATTAAAAAATAGTTATATGGCTTCCGGCTCTGGCCCACTTCTGGCAAAGGTATGGCAAATGTACACTTGTGCTTATGGAAAAAGAAATGTTTTCTAGATGTAATGAGTGTGCGATTTGGACAGAGACAGAGCACATTACATTATTTAAATGCATTATTAAACACTTATGCAACATTATAATGAACTAATGTGTTTCATTATATAGTACTTAGATGCATTATTTTAGGGCCGACAGGCAGTTAACATTGTTTTTCCATAGTTGCTCACTGCATCAAATAAATTGTAATAGGACTAATAAAATGACTGTAATGGAATCTATAAGGAAGGGTGGTTTGTTGTTTTAATTCAATTGGTCTGTCAACAATTGAACTGCACAATGATTTTTGATGCATCTCAATACTGGTATTTACTTTTTATGCAACTAGGAATGGGACTACTTCCAACAAAATACTTTCCCAGTGGTAGGCACATAAAAAAGAGGACGTGTTGGTGGTCTAGTGGTTAGGATGCTTGCCTGTAAAGGTTGTGGGTTTGAGTCCCACCTATACTAGCATTGGCTCCCTGAGCAAGACCCTGAATTTGAAATTGAAGTTGCTCTGGATATGAGTGTCTGCTATATGCTGTAAATGTAAAGGGTGTGTCTGCCTTAAGATGACAGTACTCACCCAGCACCAGATGTCCATGGATGTTGGTTTTGTTTAGTTTTTTTCTCAAATTCAAAATCCTTGAAGACATTGGACTTTTGTTGTTTTTAAACACATTTGAACTGTATGCAGTTCCTGTTGAAAAGTAGCTCTTATGAGGTTAACATCTGTGAGGTTCAGAAACTGGTAATGGGCCACAATAAGGCCAGATCTCAAACAGAGCCTGGCCACTTGTGGCTAACATCAGGCCCTGCTCTGGCCCACACGTGTCAACCTGACGCAGCAACTGAGAGCGGTCCGCTCAATCACCATCATTCCATGCGGTATGTGGGCCAGATGAAAATGCGTGATGTGGGCCACTTCTGGGCCAGAACGATTTTGCTATCTGGGTATCGCAACAATTTTCCAACTCCATCAAAGACAGCACTAATGTTGCAGGCCTCCCAGTGCGAAACAGTGGCCTGCTGTTTCAGTTTAAAACTGCCAAGTAGAGTGACCTGTAAATGATTATTTTCATAATAATTTTGTTTGTTATTAATATGATGAAGAATAAAACTAGCTTTGTGGATAACAAATAGCTTGTCTTTTAAGACCACCTTACTAAACATGTACAGAGATCGATTAAATGGCGGACAGCGACGGAGGACGTTAGCGTGTGGACGTTAACGTGTGGACGTTAGCGTGTGGACGTTAGCGTGTGGCAGCCATGCAGCCCCTCTAGGCTTCCACCACATTCCCGCTCCCACAGATGCCTTGCAGTCATAGCTACACGGATATCAGCTGCTGTCTTCCAGCTACTTCTAACTCAGACCCCCGCCAACACCAACATCCTGCTTCAAAAGCGGCTTCTTCCCGATCACCACCAGGACACTGAATAATTAAGATGTTACTGCACCTTCAACTTGGTCTCTACATGCCCACTCACCCATTCGTTTGTTTGCTTGTCAGTACCCCCATGTATATTCCGTTATTTTTATCTACTGACATTCATTGATTACCTAAATACCCAGATTTATTTATTCCCAGGTGTCATGAGGCTTTTGACTGACACTGTACTGAGCTGGAAGCTTTCTTTTCTCAACATGTTACACTTTTTTCTCTTTATATGCCATTGTCCTCTGTAACACATAGCAGAAGTGTGCCAAACTCTGTTTGGTTCTATGGCAATAAAAGCTACTATTCTATTCTATTCTATTCTATTCTATTGTAAATGAAGAGCAGATATAATTGAGTACAAAATAAGAAGCCTGACAGACTCCAAATTCCTTTGATGTCATCCTGACATTCTGCTTCACTCCTTTCTCTCCTTCTGTCTCTCCCCACATCTGTGACTCGTCCATCAGGGAGGAAATCATGCCTCGTGGCTCCAGAGGGCTGCTGCTGTGTCCAGATCAGCTGGACATCTTCCCAAATTCTGTTAATGTTATAAATCCTTTTCAAATCAGACATAAATAAAGAATAATTAATTCTGACAAGGAAAGATATGTGGCAACTTGAGCACTGATACTTTCAGCAAGGATGAAGTTATATAAAATCAAAAGCGATATAGCTGAATAATAGTAATAGTGATTCGTTTTTATTCTGTGATTATTATTACTCTATTGTGTAGCACCTTCAGATTTCAATACAAGCAGGATGGGTTGATAACAACACAAAGAAAGAAGCTAAGTCCATCCAGGCAACATACACTCTGCAAGAGGCAGCTAAAGAGCTCCAAAGAAACCCCTCTGGGTCTGTTACAATGTTACAATGTTACAATGTAACAATCAGATGAGGTAACCCTTTTCCTGGGGTGTCGGCCGCTGTAATTAGCATTACATTTTCCCTACCTTGCTTCTGACACAGTAGGCCATGATAAAAACCAGATCAATTTGATCAGACTTCAGAACCAGGATATTTATCTCTATATCTCCCTCTATATCACTTCACTCCATCTATATCTCCCTCTATATCACTTCACTCCCTCTATATCTTCCATCTCCCTCTATATCACTTCTTTTGCTGTACGTCTGTGGGAACCATCTAAAAATACTCATTATTCTAAGAAAAAGGCCCACAGAATCTAGCAGCAGCTGTAATTCTACTTAGGGCAGTACTTTCAGCAGTATGGGACAGCCCCCCCCCGCCCAGGTACACTTTACTGTTTTTTTCTAGAATGCCGACAGGGTAAGTTTTAACAGGGTCATAAAGGGAGTCTTTTCACGTTTTTAATTATTCTGGAGATCTAACCTAAAAGTATTTTACATAAGTAATCTGAAGCAGTGCTTCCCAGTCTGGTCCTTGGGGACCCAAAGACAGTCCATGTTTTTGATAATATGGATAATAAATAAATAAATAGATAAATAAATAAATAAGATGATAATAATACTAATACTAATGTGGACTGTCTGGCAGGGAGCTCAGAGGGAGCAAAAACATGGACCAACTATGGGCCCCCAAGAACCGGATTGTCATAAACTGCTAAAAACTCTTCCTGCTAAAAAAAAATTAATAACACGAAATCTTTAATTTGTTTCTAGTGAGTACATACTAGCAATACATTTCTTAAAACAGTTACTATTCACCGGACACCACAAATCAAGTCATGGTCAGAATTCAATCAACAGCAATCAAGCTTAGTTGAGGCTTTAGCTAGAACAAACTGCGATGCAGCCAGCAGCCAGTGATCTACGCAGCCTTTCTCTCTATTGCACGGGTGGTATTCATTATTATGTCTTCAGTGGGTCTGATTAGTCATTTTTAAATTGCATTTGGATAGGGCAATTTGCATTTTTTTGCACAGACCATGGTAGGAGGTGTAAGGTATCCTTCTGCACAGAGAGCCACAGGCTTTTGGAGTGCAGATCAACAGACTTGCATCAACAGGGGAACCCTAACCCCCAGAAAAAGGAAAAGCCAGCAGGTTGCCCTATTCTGAGCACCATAGCCGCTCCCCCCAGTACAGAGAGTAGGCGCGTGACGTCACAGCGTGCGGAAGTCAAGCCACTTACACCGACTGAGAGGCTAAAAGACTGAAGCACTCGGCCTGGATGCCACAAAAACACATCTGAAATGAGGAAGAGCTGTTATGCGATTGATTGTACACAGTGATTCGGAGCTGCTGAAAACTAAAGAAAAGAGAAGCAAATGGATCGCTGCAAAACGCAGAAATAACTGGAATACAGGCTCTGAAACGCGGATTCGCGGTTGTCGATTTGTGTCAATTTTGTTGGATTTTCGGGTAAAATCATACCTTATGTTATGTGCTGTATTAGCTACTCATCAATTCAATATTTACCATCATTTGTTTATATTCTGTATGACTGTAAAGTGTTTGTCAGCATTTATTAAAAACGATCCATGATGATGAGACTTGTGTTGTACAAACAAAGTAGTTATAACAAGGGGTGGTTGGATAGCGTTAGCTAGCCAAGCTAAACCCGGTTTTCCTTATAAGGGGCTACCCCACAAAACAGGGTTAGATAGTTAGCCAGAGAACTTAAAATATTTTTTTCTTTAAAGGTTTTTACAATGTTGTCAGGAAACCTGATTTGTGGTCAGATATCCATGGCGAGCTGGTTCTTTGGTAAGTTGTACAGATCCCTCCTTAGTCCAACTGCCTTTAAATGGTGCAGGTAGTCACTTATTTGGCAGTTCCCCAGACTGAAATCAGCCATGCTGCAGCATATTTTGCCACTCAGTCCATCTGAGGGAGTGTGTTCAGGTGGGAAAGTGACATCAGTGCATAGCCTCCAATGAAGGATGGGGCAACGTTGATGTGGGATAGATAGGCAGACAGGGAAGCCGACTGTGCACCATTAGGGCAGAGTGCCACTGCATGTGTGACAACTGGAAAGTGACACCAACCGCCATCCACTAAAGCCCAAAGATACGCCTTCGAGTTCTCAACTTCTCTTGGGATTATCTGAAGGCTTTTTGAAGGACGGGATGACGGCGCCTTAAACTTCTCTGATCAGTTCTTCTCGACTGTAAATCGTTGTGGATAAAGGAAATTTGTGTTCATCGTGTGGGCTGACCAACAAGCTCTCCTGCTGATCATAAGGAGCATTATCCTTGAAGTAACCTTGTCATCCAGAAAAGTACGCAGTAACAGATGTTCAGGAATACATTGTATTCAGAGGCCGTACAGAGGAAGACTCCTGTGGGTTGTAAATACTGCGAATAAATATCAGGAAACTACATCTATTAATCCATCTTTTATGGGTAACAATAAAATAGAGAGAGGCCAGTATAAGTAACAAGGTGAACTAGTTCAGTGAAGGAGCCAAAAGAACAAATTATTCAAGTCTAAAAACAAAAAAAACAGGGATATGCACTCAGAAGCATTTATTTAGGACCTCTTGGTGACAAAGTCAACCAGACTGAACAGATTTCCACTTAAATGTAGGTCAGTTGTGGCATGAGCAAAACAAAGCAGGGCGAAATAAATATTACTGCAAATATGAAGTAAATCTCTATGCTGCACATAACATCCCAGAGGACACCGAAAGGTTTATGGCAACCATGGTGACCTTAGTGACACAGGAATGGGGATCTTCTGAATGGTCCTTCACATTGGTTATTTTCAACATTGGTTAATTGAGGCACATTGTGTCTGCTGATTTTTTTCCAGCTGACACCTTAATTGAATAATTCAGCAATTAATATTGTTGATGGAGCTCTTAATTGAATACAATGCACTTACATCATTCTATGCCACAATGTTGACCCGCAGTGAATTCTTTATTATTTTGAACAAACTAATATTCAATGAAATATTAAACAGTGTGTTTTACTTTATGAATAGTATCGATTACATCCTAAAACAATCTTTCAACTTTTTTTAAATACCCCACTTCTGTTTCCATTGTTCCATACAAAGAATCTATTTAAAATAATCAGTTCAGAATTTATGAAATTAGTCCACCAGAAAATGTCTGTTTTAGACTCCAGTTAATATTTGCACACATATATCAAGGTTATGGCAAGTATTTCAATATTTAAACTGGCAACCAGAGTTGGGTAATTCAGGTTCATAGAGTAAAAGTCCAGATCGGGATTCTGTTTCAACCAATCAGTGGAGTACTCTGTGACTGTGACTCTTTATGCTCAAGTGGCTGGTCGAAACAAAATCTTGGTCTGGACTTTTACTTTCTGGACCTGAATTACCCAATTGTGCTGGTAACAGACATCTAGCCTTTCCCAAAAGGAGATCTTTTGAGAGAAAACTAGCAACAGATAAGGAAATGAGGTGCAGAGCTCTGCGTTTATGTGGGGTCTGGCCTGTTTAAGGTAACACAGACAGATGAGATGTGGTCAACAACAGCCAAACTGGGGAAACAAAACAGTTAATTTGGTGTGAGTAATAAGAGGAAAAGCAGAGTATGGGTGGTGGGGCCTACTCACAGTTACTGGGACAGGAGATTAACTTTACAGAGGACAGTGAATCAAAGAACGGCTGGAATGAATCAACATAACAGCCACTTGACTCTCTCCCATGGGTTTCTATTCAACTGGAGCAAACCATCTTCAGAATTTTTTCAAACGACTCAAAATAGTTTGATTTCCTTTGTTTGGGTGTTGATACCTGTGATACTTGGGACATTTTCCCTCAATGCACTTCTCCATGCAAGCTGCCATAAACCTGATTACTACTGCTTCCACAGGACCCCAGATGGATCCCAACGTACCCTGATAGACAAAGTTGTAGCACTCACTCTCGACTGATGATGAGCGCCAATCCATCGTACGTACACCTGGGGCCAAACGGCACACAGTACAATTGGGGCTTTACGTTTTTTTTTGGTTTGCATTTTCAAATAATTTGCATCCAATAAATACAGTCAGTTGTGTACAGCTCATCTTCCGAATGTGGGTTTGATGGGAGCGCTGAAAGTCTCCTCAATGTCTGTCACACAAGAGGTATGCTGGTCCCCTCTCCAGGGGGGCTGTTTTGCCTCGCCAGGTAGCTGCCTCAGCTGGCTGCCCTGTGGAGCCTCCACGAGGCAGCTGCTTGGGAAGAGTCCCGGGGGTTTCCAGTAGCCGAGGTCTAGGAAGCTCCCCCCAAGGTCTGTGCTGCCACAGTTAGATCCTGAGTTCAGGAGGAAGCCATTAGCCCCTGTCGTAGCTCCGGCACTTCCGTCCCCGCTGTTGGCACCGCCCCCTTCTGTCATGCTGGCTTTGGTGGAGGTGCGCCAGCTGGCCCTGTTGCTGCTGGTCATTCGGGCCGAGCGACAGCCCAATAGGTGTCGCCGGATGATCCTATGGAAGGTGTGCCGGAATTCCCGGATTCGGTAGGCGTAGATCAGGGGGTTGACCACCGAGTTGGCATGCGAGAGCACGATGGCCAGGTACACGATACTCGGGTGGGGTCTTGCACATCCGGGGCAAAAGAGAGTGAAGCAGTTGATGACATGTAGAGGCAGCCAGCAGATCGCAAACAGCCCCACGATGATGGCCAGAGACTTGGCAGCATGAACCTCCTTTAGTAAGGTGGAGTACGGCTTCTCCCCCAGTGGATTGGGCCGTTTGAGCTCCATCCATTTGAGCTGTCGTCGAGCAGCCATGAAGATGCAAAGGTAGATGGCTAGCATGAGCAGAAGGGGCACCAGCACAAAGGCGAAGAAGTTGAAGTACACCATGTAGTCCATGGTGACCACCCCCTCGAACAGGCATGCCACGGTGCCCGTGGGGCAGCTGCTGTTGGTGGCACTGGAGCACTTGTGCCAGCCCAGCATGGGCGTCAAGCCGATGACTACGGACAACACCCAACACACGGCGATGATCTCCTTAGCCCGTTTGCATGTCACCAAAGTGCTGTATCTGAACCAGAAAAACATCAAATTTATATTAGTCCTCTCACTTCAATACACACTCATGTTGATTACAATGCTTCTATTTGTAGTTAGGGGTCCTTGTGAAATTCAGCATTTTCTGTGCCTAAGACTACTTCAGCTTCCTGAAATTCTTGCCACAATTTGCCAGATGTGTAAAAGCAATCAGATAAACGTTGGACGGGATTGGAGGTAAAATGGACCAAGAAATACATCGGGTTTGGCCTCATACTGCACAACTGGCTAATGCATTGCTAAATTACCCAGCAATTTACACAAGCCTTTTGTGACGCTAATTTCAAGTGTGGAATTCATGGCCAGAGAGACTTTCCTGCAACAAACCTCTGACAAAAACATCAGAATTCACATTAAAGCAGACCTTGGAGCTCTGCCCCACTAATGTCCACCCATAACCACCTTTGCTGAAGTACAGAAGACTTGATCCTTCGAACCTGCCAATGACTGGTTACCCTTCCAGAACTTGTGTAAACTGGAGGGGAAGACATCTGGCTTGTAGCCGAGTCGTCCAACGGTCCAGCAGCAACTGCAGAAGATGCATCCATTCCAGGCATAAATAACCTTCAGCTAGTCTGAAGCCTCCATTCCTTCTCTCAGTGTGGTGTGGTCCTGGAACCAGGTCAGCACCCATACCACACCCGCCCATGTGGCCCTTCTAGAGCTACACCTAGGACAGCTTTACACCACGCAACATCCAGCAGACCTCTCGGAAATGTATTCCCACATTTCAGTCTATGCTTCCATTTTCCAACCATTTATCCAGGTCAGAGTCAGGTAACCTGAACGGGACACTAATCTATCAGTGGGCACATGCATACACATACACTCAAACACACTACCGCAACGCAGAGACATGGGTTAGGGCTGGTTTATACTTCACATTCTCAATGCGTATGCCTACGCATCCTGTTGCTATGCAAGTGGTGTTGCTAATCACCCTAATGCGCAGAGTTTACATCAATCGGGAGCATTAGGAGTTATGTCCACCAGGGGGCAGTGTGAGAAAACCATCTCGGTCGGCTCTTTCATTTCCCGTTTTGTTCGTGTGAGGTTGTGGCTTGACATATTTTACACTCGCTGCCTCCACTGTGAGTTGCTAATTCTGCAAATACTGCTGCAATATTCTCAATATTCTACCCACTGTGCCATTTCAAATTGGGACCTTGCTCTGCCATATAGCACTTTACTGCCTCTAGCAGTTCATGTTAAATGCTGTATTATATGTTGTTAGATATCTTGCAGTACTTAGTATTTAGCATTACGGCTGCATGACGTATGTCCCTGGGTTAAGAACATTCAACTTACAGAGAACTCATGTTTTCATGTAAGAACTGCATGTACATAACTTGCGATATCGATATTAATGTCTCTTATTGCCCAGCCCTACTTAGTGTGCTTTGTCTTGTAACGTTGCTCTGTCTTGTTAAATGTCTGTAGTCTGTGGAGAAGGGATTCAAGCAAGAATTTCATTGCACTTTGTACATATCACTCTGTTTTCTTAGCTCAGATTTAATTCAGAAACAGAAGATGCTTAAAGAGCCATTCAATTTTGAAGACACTGTACAAAGAGATACACAATAGTGTTCATAATATTTTCTCTCTTGCCTCTGAAAATATTCAATTTTGAATATCATCTGGCTACTCATTCTAAAAAAAATTAAAAGAAGATGCTACTTTAATACCGACTACACCACATATAAACCAAAGACAAAAATTGACCATATTCTCCGCAAGATTGTTGGTGGTACTACATCTTACATACGTGAAGCTACTGATTCCACGTGTAGCTGCACAAATGGTGTGTGGAATGAAGGCAGACGACATGTGGCCGACATGATGCGTGAAATTCCTCTACTGGTTTACCTTTCGATTATAAAGAAGGGACATGCACAAATAATTTCTGTAACATCTGCACACAGTTGCCACAACCTTCAACCTTCGACGATCAAGACAATCAAGGTTTAAAAAACTGTATGATCTGCATCACATAAGCTGGTCTACAGTCCGATTTTCTGAGAGGGGTGTTGTCACGTTCAGTCAGGGTGCAAGGAGGGAAGTCGTCTACAATCAGGTGGTTTGGGAAAGACACATGATCTGCTTTTTGTTTCATTACTTAGGAGCTGGCTTTTTTTTCTTTACAAAAATCCCCATAATCCCTATCTCCTTCAAGCTGCTCACATGGTCAGGGTGGACAACTTGGGTCAGCTGGCTGGCGTGAGATTTTCAATTCAAGACTACTCTGCACACATATTTACATGTATGTAAGAATTACATTACCTTGTAAATAGTCTGTAAGGTTTGCAAACTGTCCAAATGCTTTTGATTTAGCTAATTTTAGGTTTAAAATGGAATAATATAGATTTGCTGTAAGATTTCTTGCATGAGAGTCTGAAAGCGTGAGAGTCCCGCCAGACGCATGAGAGTTGGCAGCCCTGTATGGTAACAGCAACAGTGCTTATGGGTTTTAGATTATGATGACTTTTTGTTATGCATAACAAAGAATAACTTATGTAGTGGAAAACGAGCAGGGACCGGCTGTAAATAACGGTAACTTGTGCTTGTTGTGAACATGCGGAGGGCTGCATACGACACAGTGAGCCGTGCCGACACATGCCCAACCCCCCCCCCCCCATCCCATTTTACTCTGTGACTGTGGCGTTAGCTGGCAGACACTCACCGCAGTGGCATCTTGATGGCGATGTAGCGGTCGATGGCGATGGCCAGCAGGCTGAAGATGGAGCTCTGCGTGAGGACGAGCACGAAGCAGGCGATGAAGAGGCAGCTGTAGAAGTGGGCGCAGAAGCCGGTGCTGATGGCGATGGCGAAGGGCACGGCCAGCACGCCCACGGCGATGTCGGCCGCCGCCAGCGACACCACGAAGAAGTTGGTCACGCTCTGCAAGTTGCTGTTGATGCGCACGGCCCAGCAGACCAGAGCATTCCCCAGCACGGCCAACGCGGCAATGGTCACCTCCAGCACGAAGTAGGCGAGGGTGGAGGCATCGCTCAGCATGGTGGAGACGGTAGGGAAGTCAGCAGAGAGCAGCGGTTCAGCCTCACCTCCACGTCCATAGCTACCTTTCACACTTCTGTCAAGATGGGTGAGGCTTCCTTCCCGTGGGCAACACCCAGGGCTGAATGCTGAAGCTGAAGCGTGTGTCTGATGGTTGGGCGGGTGGCCTGGCAGGAGACCCACCGCTGCAAGGTGTCCCCACACTGCCCAGTCCAAAACAGACCCAAAAAACGATCACATGGAGATCAGACGTCTGCACAGAGAAAGAGAGAGATTAATTATTTTAACATAACACCAGAATCAAACAGAAGATTTATGTCTGTACCAGTCTCAGCAGACAATGCAACACATTTTTTTTTTGTACTTCCCATAAAAGAATAAATCTTAATTTCAAATTTTGAATCCCATCCTGGAAATAGCCGTGTATAAAAACATAAACAAGCTGTGTATAAAACAATCAGCTATAACCTTGTGAACAGAGGTGGAAAGTTCAGGTTCAGAAATTACAAATTCAGACCAGTTGTTTCAACTGACCGCTTGAGTATAAAGCAGGGGAGGGCGGTCTTATGCAGAAAAGGCCATTGTGGTTGGGTTTTCACTGCAGCTCCCTAATTAGATTACTAATCAGAGGACTGATTGGCTGAGGAGTTCTCACACCTGGGTTTGAACAGCTGACCTAAAGGTTATCCCATAAACCTGCATACACACTGGCCCTTTGCGAATAAGATTGCACACCCCTGGTATAAAGTTACAGTCTCAGAGTACTCAACTGTTTGGTTGAAACAAAATCTTGGTCTGGATTTGTATTTTCTGAGTCTGGACTTTCTACCTCTGCTTGTGAATACAAAACCTATGATATGCTCAAGGAAGGAGACTCTGGGTCTGTCGGTTGTAAAAATACAGGAGGATTATTGCAGAGTTCCAGTAACATGGATTAAGGTGGTGCAGATCAGTATAAGATGTGTGTATTAATGTGCTCTGCCATACTCTCAGCTAGCTGGTGGCCTCTGCTTCAGGGTCTGTTGACTTTGTCCCAGTTCCAGATGTTCTTGGGACCTTTTAGAAGGTCTGGGTCCTCCTGAGGCCTCAATTTTGTGATGGGAATCAAGAGAATTTCAATCTTTTTACGGAAAGAGTTGCTCATGTGTGAGTCACAAAACTCATCTTATAAAATAATTAATTATGAATATTCTGCATCCAGAAAAACAGAAGTATCTCCAATTTGCCCCAAAACCAAGAGAAAATGCATTTATTCCAAAGCAATATATGTTTTGTATGTACTTATATTTGTGGATTTATTTTGTGTGGTGTATTTCAGTCTGAGGCAGGGCTGTGCAGAGACCATTTGAGAGGCAGATGCTCAAAGGTTAGAAAAGGGGCACTTAGTAATTTTAAAGCTCAAACTCAAGTTCACGTTTAATAGTTTGGGCGTAGTGGGCAGCTGCGCAGGCCTCCCAGATCCACTTGTGCGCAGGCCTGCAGTTAGGACCTTTAGCTGCTAGCAGTTGGGTTGGGAGTCGATATCCTTAGATGCTATGCACACCAATAGACACAGCCGTCCTGATCATGCATCCTCATTTTATCCTCCAGCTAAAAACATCCACCTATCCATCCATTTTCCATAACCATGAGGAGCATGGGATGCACTCTGAATAGGATGCCACTCTATTATGAAAAAAGGTGATATAGGTTTACAAAACAACAGAACACAAATCTAAACTTCTTTATTAATGTCTGCAATAGATCTAGCTGCCTATTAAAATTATCCATCCATCCATCCACTTCTCCTATTCAGGACATGGGGGTCCAGAGCCTATCCCAGAAGCTATGGGTGCGCGGCAAAGAATAACCCAAACCAAAAAACCCAGAGGAATCCCCACGACAACACACAACGTGGAGCAGAGACTCCAACCCGGTCCTAGAGGTGTCAGGTAACAGTGCTAACCACTGCACCACAGACATAGTCAAATTAGACTCTAGTGCATAAAAAATACATTTTCTATGGACAATATGAACGTATAAAATTGTGAAAACGTGCAGGACAAACAGGAAACACCTTGCCATGCAACGCAGATAAGTGGGTCTTAGGAATTTAGTTTTATCTAAGCCAAACTCAGGCTCGGTGTAAGTGCCATTTCCTATAGTCACGCAAGAATATAACTTTTCGGTCTGTCTGTAGCCAGGCCCGCAGGCAGAAATAAATTTAGCCGGGGGTACTGCTACCCCACTAATAGGTCCCTTTCGGTACATAATTTCGACGACCTGGGGGGCCGAAGCTAATTTCGAGGGGGGTTCAAAGTGGTTATTTTAGTATCTAGTTACGTGCCTGATAAGTAACAAAAAAAATTCGGGAGGGGGTGGGTGGGATTTAAACCCGTTATTTTACTACGTGGCTACGTGCCTGCCTGCATCACGCAAAATAATACGCAACTTATGTTGTTTGTCTTATAAACCTAACATCACATTCAGATCATAGCTTAGGAAAGGCTACAGTCCAGAAATCTCCCCCCACCACAACCATGGACAGCGATGCTTCAGGCGTGCAGACCAACTGACAGCCACATCTGATCGGATGCTCCTGGCTTATTTAATACTGTATATTGCTTCCCCATGCAGCGCAGTAGTGTCCCTGACACAGTTTAGGAAAATAACAAAGTAAACAAGACCGCAAGTCACGCAGCGGTTTGCCAATCATTCGCAGTATAGTATCCTATATAAACACCCCGCAAATGCACACTATACGTTTATTACTGCAAAAACTCTTTTACCACAAAGAAAAATAAATTCTATATTTGATGCAGAAACGGTAATAATACTTGCCGTATTATCTCTTCATTTCCATTACACTGAAACAATTTCTTTGCAATTTCCATACAACAGATGCAGTTTTCCAAGGTGATTCATTTTTTCTATATTTCCTATTTTTATGAGGTCTCCCACGCTTCTGTATGTAGCGAAGTTATTTTTTTTTCTTGCAAGTCGGCTGGAAAGTTTGCTCTGTGGATATAATTCACATATTGAGCCGCGTCATATCATTCCGCCATAAGCACATTCACAAGTATCTGACAGTGAACCATCTGAAAAGCAATTTCCTCTTAACAAATAAGCATAAAAATAAAGCATCGGCGCGCTTTCGCAGGGGAGGACACAGAGAGACGGCGCAGTCACGGAGCGTCCTGCCGTATAGATCTTAGGGGGTTTCACAGCTACCTAAAAGGTCCCAGCAAAACCAAACCCGGCCAATCAAAAGCCAAGCCGTGTAGGACATGACCGCACGCGGGTAGTGCATGCATCACTATTTCACTTCACCGACGATCTTTCACAGCTTTTTGACAAATATGGTTTTAAATTTACGTCGCAAAAATGTACTACCATTAAAAAAAATATGTTGTAGGCTCAATAATGCGTTAAGACTTTCATACAGAGAATTCTCAAAGCCTTCTATTCTTGATAAACCCACAATCCTGGATTAATAGACATTGGTCAGCGGCTTCAGCCCACAGCAAGAAGTCCGGTAAAAGCTGACATGAAGCAGGAGGGGAGTGTAAGTTTCTGTCTAGGTGGGATAGCAAACAGAATCACTTGACATGAGGGCAGGAGGAAGGAAAAGAGACTTTTGTGGGTGGGGGCTGATGTCGATTTAACAAATTCAGCATGGGGGGGGGGCAGATTTTAGCATCAGCAGGGAGAAAACACACACACACACACACACACAAACATTTGTTGAGTTAACAGCTACAAGTGGGTATGGGGTAGAGTGTTAGGATTTGGGCTGGTTTACTGGGGTGTTAGAAAACGAAACCCATCTACACCCCCCTTCACAGGAAGTCACTAGGGATTTCATGGTAGCCTCCAGGTTTTGGGTACACATAAATTTTCATTCAGTTGGTTCCATTCTTGGATCGTTAATCTTACTTGGATAAAATCGCCTATTATCAACGTGACCCCAGTAAAAGCATCAGATAACTGATCCTCTGTACAAAATAGTGCTTATAATGAAGATTTTTTTCCTATTTTGTGTAATGGGATAACAAATACAGTAACGAGGTAAATGGTTTGTGGAAGTCATGGGGGAGGAAGTTCTGTAAGAACTAATAGGCAGCATTGTAACATCTCTGGCTCTGGCTAATCAGAGGCCACGGTGCAAAAGCGCCCAGTGTCTATCGAGCAGCAGGACATGCCATGTGTATCAGAAGGGGTCTGACTGTGTGCTCAGTTATTTGATTTGCCAGGTCAAACACATGAGAAGTAAATCACATGCAACATGATTAAACATGCTTGTTATATGTGAGCCGGTCTCATTCCTCTGACCGGCAAGCATCCAGCTTGAAACTGTTCTTCTTGGTTGTGAAAGTTGGGCTGCTTTGCAGGTGGATGGATGGAACCTTCATCTCTGCTAAACCACGTAAACCTAAGACACAGAAATGTCACCCGTACCACACTACCAGAAGTGTGCACGTGCACTGCAACGTATCACTGCTGTGATAACTGGCAAAGGGCGAAACGTGCATCAGCTCTGCAGACTGAAAGTTGAGGTTGTCACACCTCTGCGGCTGACATTTTAGCGGGTGGAGCTTGTGTCTTGAATTTTGTGCCTGATAGGCAGTATACTTAGGAAGCTAAATCTCACGGCAAAAAATGTTGCAGTGGTAAACAAGGCAAAAAGAGTGAAAGAAAAATCAGAGAAGATTTGCCACAATAAATAAAATATTATGGGCTGTCACACATGAGAACTTCCTTCAGTCCATGTTGATATGACAGATTTATTTATAGCAGAGAGTAGCTGTCATGTCTTCAGCAGATTCAGTGTCACTGCTGTTTTAGGGAGATAAAAACAGACATCACTGGACAAATTTAACACTCGCACATTTTCTTCCCATAGACCTTTACAGCAGAGCTGTCTGAAAACATCCCAGTACCGTCTTACAGGCAGGGAGAATTTTTAGCTTGGCCAGTCTTTTTAGCAGTAGATTAATGGTCCATTCATAGAGGAAATCTGCTCACGTGAGGGGATTAGGAGGCAATATGAACACAACTGAACAAACTATGTTTTATTGAAAATGCAGTTAACATCAAATTGCAGTGAGACAGTGTTTTGTGTTGTAGCTTCAGACAAGCACACTGCAACAATTACAGTAACAGCTACATGTATTTTTAAATAGAATTGTGAATATTAAAACCTAAAAAAATACATGAGAGTATTACAGATAACACAAAGGACTCTTTCACAAAGGAGTTTGGTGGTGATGGAGCAGAATTGGATTATACTGGTTTGTTTAGTAGTGGACTGTAAAAAAGCTAACATCAGTTGGCATTGTTACCCTCAGCAACATGAGAGTGGAGGACTGATATGAGAATGAACACGTATTTCTGTTGGCTGGAGAAGATCAGCATCCTTGTATGGAGTAGATGCGTCTCACAAGTGTTCCTCCCCCCTTTGTTGAATGGCTCTGGAGGATGGGGGGTGGGGTTGTTCAGGAAGGCACATGACTGCACTGCTGTGGAGAAGCAGACTCAGTTCTCAAAGTGCTCGTAGATGGTGGAGATGTAGGACATCACCCTTTGCCAGTCTGGACGCTCCATCCACTCCATCTCGTCAATGTCCTACAGCCCAGAAAGTGCCCACCATCAAATCTCCAGAGTGCCAGGGGATCAGCAAATCTCATAAAATAGCTTAACGTTTAAATAAATGCAACAGCCTCACAATCTGTGTCCATTTTTGAACAGCTCATCCTGCTCAGAAGGTTTAGGAGCCTAGTTCAGGTAGCACAGGGCACAAGACTGAAGTCCATACTAGAGAGGCTGCTTGTGTATCTCAGGGCCCATACCCTCTATGGGCCATTTAGAGACAGCAACATGCAGGATTTGAACACCCAAGCCTGAATGTGTTGGTAACAGCACTACCCACAGAGCCATTGTAGATTGAAGACCTTACTTCTTAAAAACTCAAAGGAAATACAGAGTGGGGAAAAAGAACAAAACAAATGAATCACAATTATCTGAATTTCTGCAAAATTTTGTTTCCTCTGGAAAAAATAATAATGCTGAACCCTTAGAACAGTAGAACCAAGCCTCCCTCAGGGATGATCATCCACAACAGGCAAGGTGCTCAGTAGTTTGTATGGGAGGACCTACAAATGATCACTAAAGCACTGGGGGACTTTGGATTGAATGAAAATGTAAACTCCACTTACCAAAGTACACTTAATTCCCACACTTTCTGCTGCCCGAACAGCCAGTATCAAATTTCTTCTCTGAGTGAAAATTAAAAGAAAAAAAAAGCATTAAACTGTCCTTAATTTACCTAAGCACAGGTGGTAATGAAAACCCTTTACAACTCAGGTTTTGGGGTAGACATTTTCTACTTTTTGTGGTCAAACTTTACAAAATTTGTTAAACAATTATCATGATTTGGATTTCAATAGGAATCAATGAAAAGCTCTATTAAATGACTTTTTTTGCTACCTCTGTGACTGTGTGTGGTACTTTGTATGCAGCAGAGAATGGAATTTGGCTCGGATTGGACTTGTGTTTTCCTCCTGTGTCACCAAGATGGTGACTTAAGTCTTATGAGGAACACTGATGGGCAAAATGCCAGCTGGCATTCATTTCAAATCTACCAATAGAATTACAGTTTCTGACCTTATCCACCAATGGGAATGAAGAGTGCTGAAGGGTAGCTTCACTTGCCTTGTCTTGACCATTGAGCTCCTGGAAAGGGATGTGTCCTGGCAGAAAGGCGTGTAGGATTGCACAGAGCGCCAGTCCGTCTTTCCAGCTACTACTAAAATTCTTTATATTGATGTTCTGGGAGGAGGAAAGGTAGCAAAAAGTGGGAAAATAATATTAAAAGAATCAAGATACTTCTTTGTAGCAACACTGCATAGACATTCCATATAATATAAGATGTAAGGAACTCAAGGCATACTTTCCACACCATATTCCCATATGTTTCTATTCCCCATGCTTCTCAAAACACAGGCGGGTAACACATTAAATGCCCACATCTTGACGGTAATGACTTCAAAGTTTGGAATTCATGTGTATGTATTTGTGTGTATGTGCATGTATGTTGTATTTGAATAGACCTAGGTCATGGCTATTCAAATTACGGTCCTCGAGGTCCAAGCACTGTTGATTTTCCATCCTTCCTTTATCTGTGAGCCAGATGTGAAGCCTCTGACCAATCAGAATCAGTAATTATTAAACTACCTGGTAGAACTGAAAACAAGACCTGGATTTGGAATCGAGGGCCAAATTTGAATAGGGGGGATCTAGGTGATCTGATCAATTTCCTTCAATACACGCCTTCTACTTAATGATCTGTTTCAAGAGGTCGAAGTTAAAAGAGTATGAAGGACAAAATGACCAGTATTAATCAGGAGCACTGGATCAGGGAAAAGGCTGTGCTGTCAGTTGCAAACCCTCCAGACTGTACACATGCGGATGCTTATTGCGATTTATGTGGTTTACAGGACCAGACTAACCATCAAGAGCAATTGGTTTAGAGGGGTACCCCTTCTCAAACCAAGATCAGGTAAATTGACTGTTTTTAAGGAAATACAGAAATCATTGAACAATAATGGCATTTTTTTCCTCAGCTCTTGGTGAACAATTTCATTGGGAGAGCCATCTAATTGTTTAGTGTATGGTGTATAAGACAGATGCTGTGGGGTGACAATGGCTTGGTTTTGTTTTGTTCCATGTTCTGATGGTTCAGTTTGGTTTATACATCAAAAACCGCTCCGTGTTTATCTCCACAAAACAAGTGAGTGACGTTTGATATGTGATCAACAACAGGGAGGATCGTTCAGGCCACCCCTTATCTGCTCTGCTGGGGTCAGCTCCCAACCCCAACCCTAATCTGAAACACCCATCCTGCACGTCCGTCAGGAGACACAAAGTGCAGAAGCTTTTGACCACCAACCCTGGCCCTGAGAGGGCAGTGAGAAGGGCCGCGCTTAAGTGAGCGAGAGGTAAACACTGAGGGTCTCTGTAAGAGGGTCCCTATATAGTCCAGTGTCTGACTGCTGAAAAGGTTCCAACAGGCTTTCCTGATCCTCCAAGCTCACTTAAGAGGAACCACGGACCAGGCTGTGGATGGTTATTGCTACATCTGCACTGTGGGGCTTGCCCCTGTCTACAAAAACACCCAGACCTCGTCACCAGGAGCTACCAGAACCTGAAGCTGTCTCCGGGAAACCCAAGCCCCCTCCCAAAAAAAAACCCCCTATGCCCTCTGCCCTCCTGCCCTACTCGTCCAACCAGGGCCGTTCCCAGGCTGCAGTGAACAAGATCAACTCCCAGGAAGCGGTGACACTATAAGCCAGAAGCTGAGGGACGAGCCTCATGGGAAATCACAATGGTGCCCCCTGAGGAACGAAAAAGCCCCAAACTAACCTTAATAATAATGTCATGAACGAGGCCAGGCTGATACTTAAGTGTGATAAATAAACCGTCCACATCCCTGCCCTACTCCTTTTGTCATTTTCAGATAAGTCGCCCAAGAAAAACAAATTGAAACCCGTTAAGGAGATAAATGATATTTGTAAAACATGACAGAATGAAATTGCCCCTGGGCACCCGGCACGGTACATGATGGGATGGTACTCCACAGCGCACCCAAATTTTCTGTCTGATTTCTAAAATGTAAATATGTGTCTGCTTGCTGATTGAGAACACAAAGGAGGTTCCTGAAATGCACTTGCTCCTTCCTGTTTTCCCTTTAGCTACACTAGACATACATAAACAAAGTAAATCCCTGATAATGAATGTCTCTTGCCTTACATGTGAACTTCATTTGCTCTCATGAAATTCCCACCATTCATTAACTCAAATGCCCAAATTTAATGTAATATGCAGTTGATTTACTTTTTGGGAGCCTTAAATGTCACTATTGCTCTTGAGAGACTGTCACTGAATCCCAGGAAAGGACGACAATGCATATGAAACTGCATGATGCTAAGACGGTATCCAATGGGCACCCAAGAGACTGTGGGTTACTTGCAGATGAGGAAGCCATTGGCTACTGAGGACCAGGTCAGCCCACCTTTTATGGTATCTGACCTCCTGACCTGTCGACTTACCTGGTACCCTTGGGTCTTCCTCTGGCACCATCTGAGAAGCGCATTGCGCTTGGACTCACCATTTTCCCGTACCAGAGCCCTCAGTGGATACAGGACCTGGTCCCTGAAGAGACACATAAGACAGACAGCCAAACAAAGACTTAGGTGAGTCTTAATACAATAACAGGACCTGTAAAGTAAATGCAGTGGTTTTCAAACTCACTTCTTCATGTACGTACTTGATATTGCCTACTAACAGATTATAAAGCCCTTGATTGTCTGGCATGCAGGTGGTGGATAATAAAAATTTGGACTGTCCGGGGGAGATTCAGAGGATATCACTGATAATCGGATCAAGCCAAGCCAAACGGACTGTCAGAAACCCAGTTCGGTGAGTTCCTTGCATAGAATAGCTTTTCCATCTCCACTTATCATGATAATGTTCTGATTGGGGGAGGGGATGGTCAACAGCATTGTCCAAATGATCAGATTTGCAGTCAGAAATTTGGAAAGACCAGGTACAGTCCTATATTCCATTATTTACGGTACCCTCATTAACAGTGGTGAAGTCCAAAACCAAATCCCACCCACCATCTTCTCACAGCAGCTTCTGGTCCCTCCCTGATCCCGGCAGCCAGTTCTAGACCATGACGCCTATGACTCTACTACAAAGTCTGGGATTCCAAATTGTCTGACAACCATTTGTGTCAAGGGTGCTCAGGTATTTTGGATTGATCAGGGGCCTAAAGGAATTACTGGGAGGCAGAGGGTTGAATTACCATACAGAAAATCATGGCTCACATCTTGTAAGCCGGAGTCTCTCTGAAGATGGAGCGCAGGGCAACGTGCCAGGGGGGGGCGTCTTGGGCCACATTACCGATGACACTAGTTCTCTTTGGGGGTAAATATTTATGTATTTCTTTGCAGGATATTTATACAACCACGGCCATGGGAGGTCCCAGGGGGGGCGGGGCAGACACTGATTAGTTAAACTTGATATGATGGCAAGTCACGTCTTCAAGACAGGAGGGGGCTTTAGTGCACAAAGGAGCTGGGGTCTTGAGATAAAAACCAACTGTTGGGTTGTTCTCCTGACAGGGAGCCATTAAAACGTCACAATTTAGCCGGTCCGTACATAATTCATAACTATTTAAGGGTCCAATCATGCAATAAAAATTTGCCAGGCAATTACAGAGATACACTGGAATGTTCAACATAGCCAGAAGAGTGGAACAGAGCAGAATATGGGGGCAATCCGGTCGGCACACCTTCTTAAAAGCTCTATTGGAATACAGATGTGTGTTCTGCCACGTGAGTCTCCATTTTGAAAGAAGTAGACCCTGCCACACAGGAAGTGAACTACGCAGCACCAATTTTTAAATGATGGCAATATACTCTACAGAGGAAATCGAGCTGCGGGAGGCCAGTTTCCTGAGTCAGACACAGGGTCTATGAGCTGATTTATGCCAGGATAGTGCGAGCAGAGGAGGTACAAAATGCACCTTTAACTCGCGTCCCACATCAATGTCACCTCAAGCCTTTTTTTAATATATGTTCTGTAGGCCGCTTCTTGCTGTGGTTCTTCCTTGGTCTGTCACCTTGTACTGAGAAGTTAAGAGAAGCCAGAAAGCCACTCAAACGCTCAAAGTGCTGAAAATACACCCCCTCCCCCACCCAAGCCTTTATTATATGGCCAAATGATTCTGCACCTTCAAGTAAGATTCTCGTGTGTCTTCGGCTTGTAAACTAATCTATTTGCATTAAAAAAAACAGAAGTGGTTTATCTAGCACAATGCTCACTAAGTAGCACACTTTAATTAGAGCTCGAGTATATTTTTGTGTGACCCGCTGTTCGTGAGGAAACATGAGTGTGATTATGTGTGCGTGAGAAAACAAGTAGTAGTTTCAGTGTGGGTGTCGCTAAAGCGTCCCGACCTGGGGCTGCCTCGTGCCGTCATCTCGCTGCAGGGCTCTGGTCGGGGGGGTGAGGGAGAGCTTGGGGACCTGAGGATAGCAGAAGGGCAGGAGCCCTCCGTCGTCGCCTCCTCGCTGCTCCCGTGTGACACTGCCAAGAGGGAGCATGTAGACTCTATACTCAGACACAGGGGGGGATTCAAACCCCCAACCATGGAGGGGGGGGGGGGTCAGCCATGTCGCTCACCGAAGCACCGGGCCGCCCAGATTCCCACCCAGTCTACCTCAGTTTGCTGTCTGAGACGATTGTTTGTTTGTTTGTTTGTTTGTTTGTTTGTTTCTTTGTTTGCTTGGTAAGGGCACTGTGTCAGCTCACCAGATTCGCTGAGCCTCCTGTCCATCCGGAGCTGGAGGGAGGGAGGGCAGCTGGCGCAGGAATTCTGAAATGGCAAGGGGACGGGTAAGCCTCAGTCAAGTCAGAACATGTACACAAGTGGGGGGGGGGAAGTGGGTAGGCGGACAGTGAATGTTACCACCGGTATGGTGATGCTGTCTATATGCATCTCTGTACGTCCATAACTGGCTGCTGACAGCCCGCAAGCGAGCAGAATGGGTCCTATGTGCTGGGACCCATGCTTCTCATTTTGTGTGGGGGGAGGGGGGTGTTATTTTTGACAGCCTCACTTCCTTGTAACTAATAGGCAACCTATTGTTTTAGCCAAAAGCAGATAATATTGAAATCGACTGCATTCACACTACTCCCCCCCCCCCCCAGATACACAAACATAACCTGCCATCACATACGTGCACAGAGACAGGCACCAGTGACTGACTCCCCTTCCCTCCCACTACTGTAAACCTTGAATCTCAAAACCGAGTTTTACAACAAAGGCTAGCAGAGCCTTATGTTGGAAGCGGTCACAGATTATAGATATTATTTTGTGTTTAACTATGGAAAAACTGCCAGATTCATTAATATGAACCTGAAGAATCTCATCTGTAGACAATGGTGTAAAGTTCAGGTCCAGAAAGCACAAATCCAGACACAGGTTTTGTTTCAACAAACCAATTGTGCATGAAGAACCACAGTCTCTTAAACTGTACTTAAAGTACTCAACTGGTTGGTTGAAACAAAACCTTTCCCTGGATTTGTATTTTCTGGACCTGACACTTCTGTCTGTACCTGTATAACCATTAAAGCAAAGAATACCACAAGATTATTTTAAAAAGCCATTTTAAATAGCATTCTTATGATCAATAATTTAACTGTGAAGTATAAAGATATAAAATTCAATTGGGAATCAGGGTCTGGGGTTCTACAGCTAATTAAAGAAAATAACTATTTTCCTTGGCCATTTCACATCTAAAGCTAAAAGAAAATCTATATAAGTGCACCTCCAATCCGACCCTGCAGGAGGCAAAAGAGAGTTTGTTATCTCCTGCCCCACCTCCCACCTTCGTTATAGTGTGGCGATATGTCAATCAATGGACAAGCAGCTTTAAGGATGTTCCATAGCTTGAAGATCATGCCATGTGCCACGCAGGGCGAGTAACAGTGTGGTTTTAGGGTATGGGATTGTGATGCTGAGGTTCCAGGATGGGAGGCCTATGGGTTGAGTCCCTCTATGTGACTCCTGTGCTTGGATCAAACCGCTGTGTTAAAACACATATTTAATGAGCCATCTTGCAGTCCCGCCACATGAACAGAGGTGGCGCACTTCTGTCAACGCAAGCTATGTTTTGCTGACTGCCACCACAAAACAGCTGGAGGAAGGAAAAGGTGCACGGGGGCTTCCTGGAGGAATATCTAAGCATCCAAGTGTCTGTACGGCCTTTCATCCGAGGGCACGGTGAGCCTGGAACGCAGGGGGAACATTCTGGTGAACAAAGGGAGCCCGTTTACCTGGACAGGAGGAACCACAGCTGCCCGGGGAGACCTCAGAAGGCGGGGGCTGAGGGGCGGTCTGGCCATCGGCATGGCAACGGTGTCAACATCCTGTGTGGGGGCTGTGAGCGCGCGCGCACACACACACACACACACACACACACACATACACACACACACACACACGATCAGCTGCACATTCAGCATTTACTGGTGCTCATTAGAATTACAATTATTATCAATATTGTTTCATGTATCAACATTATTACCAGTATTTCCCACTCCAGTCCTCAGGGACCCACAGACAGTCCATGTTTTTGCTCCCTCCCGGCTCCTGGACTGTCTCTGGGTCCCTAAGGACACTGATCATCACCATCATAATCATTTCCTTCACTACCTCTGTGATCAGCGTTCATCAGTCTGTACACAGCACATGGTGTAAGTGCCCTCAGGGTGGGCTGGGCACTGGGGCAGGTGCGGGCACCTTGTGGAGGAAGATGGAAGGTCCTGATGAGGGCACTGATTGTGGGAGAGGGGGAGCAGGAGGAGGAAGAGGAGGGAACAGGACGTTCGACCTGATGCCGCCTGGCCATGTCACTCTGCGCCACGTTTATGTAGCTGTGCAGCTGATCCTTCCTGGAGGAACACAAAGAGTTAATAGACAGACTGACAAACACACACACACACACACACACACAAACACTCAATGCAGGGCCTCCTCACCCCCTCCGCCTGGCTTCCTCCAGCTCTTTCCCCTGCCCCTCGTTCCTCTCCTGGGCCTCGCGGAGCCGCCGCTGCAGCGTCCCCAGTTCTCCCTCCACCTGCTCCCGGACGCGGTTGGCAACGACCACAGCGGTCTGCAGATCAGCCTGGAACTGACGCCACTGGGCCGCCTCCTCCTGCACGTGAGCAGACGCGACTTCACGCAACCTCAACCGCACCGAGATAACAGGCAGACCTGTTCATAGAGTCATAACAAGCTAACCCAATAGACTTGGCTGTTGGTAATACAAGAAACTCATCTAACCTGAGGTAGAAACGCAGGTACTTTTAAGGGGGGGGGGGACACTCATCACATCAACCACCCCCATTGGTCATCGACTTACTTGGTGTCTACGCTGTAGAAGCTTGATCTCGCGCTGAAGGTTATGATTTTGGCCCTCAAGTTTCTCCACGTAGCCTGGGGGAAGAACGTGAGCACAGGGATCACTGGACAATAACAGTGAGAATTCACCTAAAACCTTACAGTCAACATTCTCAAGCAAGAAGTTATTGTATTCATTTTAAAGATTTCTGCATTATGGATTAAAAAAAAAAGAGAGAGAGCAGAATTAGGATTTCCCGAAATTTCTTTTTAAAGGGGACATTGAGTCAACCAACTGAATAGATTTAAGGACCCTGGATTTAATTTTTAATGCCCTTGTTGCCAAGACTACACTTACAGTACCTGCCTGCCTCATTCTTTGCTAACAATGTGGACTTTGATTACAATTAACTGTAGCTCTAGAGCACCCCCATGTGGATAATTAGATTTTTGTTTCATTAGCAAAGCCACTAAGCAGAATGACCATTATGTTCTGCCTAAACTGCCCCAATTAGTAGCCAATTACATGTACTGTACTGTGTATTCCTATGCAATACAAACAATTTGCGAGAAATCAGAGCATTTACTGAATCTAAGGCAAAGCATCTGGGGCCTTCAGGTGTTACATGGGTGTCCATCTTCCAACCGGTTAGGCTGAGCAGAGCCAGACGAGGCCTGAGTCCCATTTAGAGGCGGTATGAAAATTTATATCACAGTAATAGTGACCAAAAGTATCACAGTTATCAGTATTATCACAGTATTGTTAAAATGTGCTGAAAATGTTCAAAAAGTACCGATGCACAAACAATTTTTACCAAGTTTTATATTGAAAACCACTAAATAAAATGATCAGCACTATGCATTTTTTGTTTGCATAAACGTTAAAATAATAATGTAGCCAATAGCTGATGTAAACATATGCAAACCATATCAAATGTGTATTAACAATAAACATTTCCTTCCGCCCTGTTTTCGTTGGCACAAAAACTCACTTTGCCTCTGTACCTGCATCTGGGAGACTTGGTCATTTTGGTTGACGCTTCATGGTATTTAACATGAGTTTTTCAAATTGTGGTAATCAGCCACTGTTTTAATGATAATTAAAATTTGAAACAGCAATACTAACCGTTGGGAATTTTATCATGATCTACCGTGAAAGTGGTAATCCTATCTCAGGCAGCGCAGGGCCCACGATAGCTTTACACCCTGCACATTCACACATACCTGGCAATTTACAGACTCTAATTAGTTCACTCGCATGTCATGGGACTATAGGAGGAAACACATGCGACACAGGGAGGATATACAAACTAGGCAGACAGAGGGAGGATATACAAACTAGGCAGACAGAGGGAGGATATACAAACTAGGCAGACAGAGGGATTATATACAAACTAGGCAGACACAGGGAGGATATACAAACTAGGAAGACACATTTAGGATATACAAACTAGGAAGACACATGGAGGATATACAAACTAGGCAGACACAGGGCAGCGGAAGGATTCAAACCTCCAAACCTGAGGCAACAGGGCACTGAGCCACCGCGTTGCTAATTAATGGTGGATATAATTACACATTTAAGTAAGTAAGCGAAGATTAAGGGAAAAAGGCGTATATGAAGCAAACTGACATCCCAGTCAGATTTCTCAGAACTAGCCTGTCACACTACATCATGTGACCCGTCATTTTACAGGTTGTCATCACCATGTGACCTCCTCTGACCCCATAGCCCACAGTGAATCCCGCCTGCTCACTCTCCAGGTCTGAGATAGTGAGGTTGTCGTGGAGCTTCACGGCCCGGTGCTGCTCCACCTCGTCCTCCAGAACGAAGATGGACTCCTCCATGTTGGCAATGCGGACCTCTCTGTCTTCCAGCTCCGCTTGCTGCAGGGCTGCATGCTTCTGGGCCTCTTCCTGGTGCAGCTCAAACTCCCCCTGCAGCTGAGGAATGGCGTGGTGAAGGGCATGGTGAATGGCGTGGTGAATGGCATGGTGAATGGCGTGGTGAATGGCATATCACTGTACTCGGCAGTAAACAAACACACACACACACACCCACACACACATACACACACACACACACCATATACATCCACACAGGTGTTGACACATAAAACACATGGTCCAGACAGAGGGAGAGCAAACAGATAAAAATATGTGGCAGAATCCGCACCTCTAAATCATTATCAAAACAAATAAACAACCAAACAAATCATAAATGAAATTTGAAATAATTTGGGACCTGTCTTATGACTGCCATACACAGAATTCACAGACATATATATATGCAAACACACAAATACACACACACACCACACCAAATGTCCCATAATGTCATGAAGAAACTTATTTTGACGTTGTGGGGCTCCAACTCTGTGACTGAATTCAGAAAACTAAAAATGCCAAAAGTTGGATTTTGTTTGGTTACTTATGGTTAAGGTTAGGGCTGGGTAGGGGTTAAGGTTGTCATTGCTAGAATTAGGGCTTTCCCATAGAAATGAATGGAGAGTCCCCACAAATATAGCAGTACAAACATGTGTGTGTATATGTACCTGTATATATCACACATACAGCCATGCCATTTAGCTCACTCCCACTTGTATTATTTATTTTCTCTTTCTTTCTTTCATTTCCTTTATGCAAGAAGAAAAACAAAATTGGTCATATTTTATTTAATTTCTGTTGTTGTAATATGTGGGAAAATTAAATTACATATGTAAATACATACATAGAGGCACTCTTACACTGCGTGTAACCTAGCGCAGTGTTTCCCAACCCAGTCCTCGGGGAACCCCGGATAGTCCATGTTTTTGCTCCCTCCCAGCTCCCAGCCAATCAGGAACACCGAATACCTGGTACAGGCGGGCTAGGAGCTGAGAGGAAGCAAAAACGTGAACTGTCCGGGGTTCCCCGAGGTCTGGGTTGGGAAACACAGACCTAGAGGTTAGAAGGACCCAGAAGGGCAGCGGCATTAAGTGCTCACCTTGCCGAGGGTGTGGCCAAGTCGGGTGACCTCATCATGGGCGTGTCTTAGCTCCTCCTTCAGAGTGGCAGCCACACCCTCCGCCTGCTCCTTGTCCGCCCGAAGGACATCCATCTGGTTCTGGACGTCCGGACCAGCCACACAGAGCGGGCTAGGTTCTCCATGGGCAGCCCTGATGGAGCGCTCCCCCTCCTTGTGAGCCGCTGGCCGTACCCATGCTCCCCGTAGCTTTGGGATCCTGCCGTCGTTAGCAGATCCCGCTGTGGCTGTCAGGGGCTTCTTGCTGTTTTGGACTCGGGGACGCAGGTTGCGCTGAGATAAACCGGGGTCTTTAACTATGGAAGATACCCAGGACCGGCCTACAGAACCTGTACAGCAACAAACCTGTGTCTTAAGCTATACTACCACAAGGATAAAGAGCTTTCTTATGCATTCATAGCCCTGCCATAATTGTGAATTGAACATTTAAACACCTAATACCAATTTTTCTTATTTATTATAATTATTACACATGTTCTTACTACAGCCATTAGCTTTGTCCTGGGGGTTAGCTGTGCCTGGCACTACTAAGGCCACATTTGCATAGAGACTCTTCTTTCCTCTTGCTGCGCTGGTTCCCTGTAGCAGTGCACCTCCAGCCAAGGCCACTGGGGCGGCGCTACTCCTTACCTGGTCAACAAACGAGATAAGCATGACAAGGTCATGGCTTTCTCTTCAGCCATTCACATGTCACATATTTATACTTGCCACCATTATCCACCATTTCTTAGGTCCTTAGTGCAACATCCAGCTGCAGATCTTCTCAAACAATGAGCCCCTTTTTTTTGTTTGTTTATGTGCCGGGAAACAGTTACAGACACACTTGAGTATCTGTAGGGGTCCCACCCAGGATTAGAAATGGAATCTTCCAGTAATAATTCATACTGCTATTGAACATTCCAGATGAGCTTGAGGCACTGTAGCAGAGGTTGTGGATTCCACAGCGGGTCTCCCCTCCCAATGGCAATTTGTAGCACTAGTCCT